CTTCGCCTCCCTCCTTCGGCCGGCATCCCCCCCCCCCCAAGCTTCCCCGCCTCTCCTGTCCCGCGTATAACGCGTCTTTAGTCTTCCCCCGCCGCCCAGGGCAGCCCGCGCCGGCTCGGGCGCCAGCCTGGAGCGCTCCGGGGCGGCCGCCGTGTGTCCGCGGCGCTGACGCGCTACCACCCCCCGGCTCTCGGACACCGTAAAAGCACATCGCTGTGTGGGGGGTCCCGCTCTGCATCGTGGGAGGCGACTGGGAGCCGCTCCGGGGCTGGTGGCTGTGGGCCTTGGCTTGCTTGCTTTGATTTCTATCCGGCTCCAGCCCCCCCCCCCCATGCCGCTGCTCCCCTTCCATCCTCTGCCAGTCTGTGTCCTGTGGTCCTCACTATGGGTCCTCTCAAGGCTGTTTTTATCCATTATAATAACTATTACCTCCCCCTTTCTTAGACAGGAAAACTCTTCCATGAGTAGGGAAAGGGCCAGAAACTGATCTGGGTTTCACCAGTGAAAATCCGGACTATTGGCTTTTATTTTCCTGGAAGTACTGCAGATTTTAACCAAGAATCTTTGGCCCTGTAAAGCTGGGGGAGTTCAGTTCTTCTTAAAAATGAGACTTAAAAAAAAAAAAGAAAAAAGGGAAAGACAAAACAAATTGTGGCAGTTGGGTTGGCTTGCAGTAAGGCTAGTTCCAGGGATATTTTCTTCAAATTGTCCCCCAAATGCAAAGGTTTTGGCCCTGCGGGTGCCTTTTGCATACTGGAAAGTAAAAGCAGGTCAAGTAATAGAAGGTTCAAGGGATTCATTCCCCACCCCTTCTTTTTTCCAGTTTAACCTTCATTACTGCAGGGCCCCAGACTAAATGAGTCTTCAGGATCCTTCCCACCCTGTGATTCTGTAAATAAGGTGGCAGTAATACTTGGTGTAGACCTACACACACAAGATGCTAACACAGAATGCCTGAGCGGCTTGTGAGCCTGCCTAGGAAGGTTGTGGAAACAGTAAGAAAAGAAAAGAGTTTACTTGATCAGCTTGGGCCTGATCCTGCTTCTGTTCAAAACAACATAAACCCCCCTTGGATTCAAAGAGAAGCAGCATCATGCCCCTTGTCTCCTAAAATGGGGAGAAGTGGCAGCTGGCCTGGGCTCCCAGCCTCCAGAGAGACAGCCTTTTTTGCTGTTAATGAAAAGGGCTTGTCAGCACCCTCCCCTCCTGTTCTACACCCAGATCTATTCCTGTTGTTCTGCCTGGAGGAGACCTGCACTCTGTAATGAAGCCCTGTGAATATGATCCTCTGCAAACTGGACTTGAAAGTTCCTGCCTCCAGGCCTGAACACTTACCTCTATACTCCCCCCTTCACCCATTTCAGCTTCAGTTGGCTAAAACAATAAGGCTTGTTATTGGGGCTGGATGGTGCCTGGGGTCCTTCTTGCCTCCTCACCTCCTTGGCAGATATATTCAATGTCCAAGCCTCATAAATCAAGGCTATAAAAAGCTTACTTTTATATGCACTCAATTGCTACCAAACCCAAACTAATTGCATAAATTCCTCTAGGCCACTCTGCACTGTAGTTGTGCTTGGGATCTGATCAATTAGTCATTAGGCTCCTCCATTAGCTGGGCTTTAAGCTGGCTAATATAAATGTCTCGTGTCAATTTCCTTGTAATTGAATGAATAAAAAATACAATTATTAGTACAAAGGACAAAAAAGATGTGATGCGGGGTAGTTATAGCAAATACCAAAGCCTTGTACTCCTCTCAGAATTTTAAAACTTTATGCTTTCTGGGTTTTTATTTAGCAGATTGTAGCAAATACAGATTTCTCTTA